TTAAGGAAGATGGGAAAGAGAACGCCAAGAATCCTAGAATGATTCTTGAACGCCTAGAATCCAGAATGTCCATGCCCACTAAAACTTGCCAGCGCTCAAAAGAGAATCTTGCAGACGTTCAGGCGGAACCGACTTCAGCCTTTTATAGACCCAATTCTGTAACTCTTGATTTTTGTTGTTGTTGTTGTTGTTTAAAGTAAAAAAGCAGTAGCTATGTAAAATGTTGAATAAGGGCTATTGGAGGAACAGAGAAGTGACAGCAGATGCTCTGTGAGCAGGAAAGAAAGAGAAACAACAGGCAGAGAGAAGGGCTTTTAAACGCAGCAAGCTGGCGGAAGCAGAATGAAGATAAGCAGCCTTATATGTGTTTTCAAGCTATTGAAGCTGTTAACGTTTTCAGCTTATGAAATAATTGATGTTCATATAATGATATAACTAGTTATTAGAAGATATTGGATAAAATATCCATGTTTATGAAGGAAGACCTCAGAAAATTTTTATTTTAGAAAGGTTTATTTTGAAAGATTTCCGTTATAAATGGTTTAAATAAAAACTAAAGTTTTGGGGCTGGTCCCATGGCCGAGTGGTTAAGGTCGCGCGCTCTGATTTAAGTGGTCCAGGGTTTGGATCCTGGGCGTGGACACGGCACCGCTCATCAGGCCATGTTGAGGTGGCATCCCACGTGCCACACTAGAAGGACCCACAACTAAAATATACAACTAAGTACTGGGGGGATTTGGGGAGAAAAAAAAGCAGAAAAAAAAGAAGATTGGCAACAGTTGTTAGTTCAGGTGCCAATCTTTAACAAAACCCGAAAAACTAAAGTTTTGATGCTTACAGAGAGAGGCTGTCAGCTATTTATGGTAGTGTGGCACAGTGCAAGGAGCACAAGCTTTAGAATCGAGGAGCTTTGGGGTGTGTGATACTGAGTAAGTTTGACACTGGGTCTCATTTTCCTCATCTGTAAAATGGGCTTCATATACCTACCTAAAATAGGGTTGTAATGAGGATGAAATTAATTAAGTTATATATTCTGAATACCTAGCACATAGCAGAAATTCAGTATCTGGTAGTTGTATTAGTGAAATTGCAAATCCCCCACAATGGTAAATAAACGATGCATTTTGAATTTCTCTTATGTGTGATTAGGCAACATTATTCAATAGGGTGCTAGAAATCTCTAGCTAGGAAGCTGACCTCAGTCCCTGCTCTGTCCAATTTGAAGGTTATGAACTGCAAGACCTCCAGATCAGCAGAGCATCAATCATAACCTTTGGGCAGTTGGTAACTTGCATTGGCCTTTTTACTCTTCTGAAAGATGGACGTGCCATCGAATTAAGGAAAGGAAGAAATAAACACAGTATTTGTCAAATACAGTTCTTTATTTTTTAAAATAAGTATTTCAACTAAAGCTTTTCAACCAAGTCATTATGGTGGAAATGTAGCAATAGCAAAATGATTATTCCTTTTCATTTGGCCTAATAAGTTCACGCAGAACTTACGTATTAGGAACTTTAAAATATGCAACTATTTTTGATCTACAAAAATGACAACTTCTGTGGTTCAACCTAATCATTACTAAAGCAAAACTAATTGATTCAGTGCCTCATTTTCTTTGTAGAAATGAGACAAGAATAAAAGGATGCCTAGAGTTGAATATTTTGTATTATATATTTGTCAAATGATTTATATATGGAAAACTATACAAGGAAGTATTTCAGGGGAGGACATAAAGTTGTCTGTAGTATCTGCTGTCCTCATAAGCTTGGCTTCATAGCCAACAACTGGTTTCTCCCATTCAGGTGTGATTCAAATCTGAACTCCACGCAATTCTTCAGCTTCAGAACAGGAGATTAGTTTATGCTTCCTAACTGACATTGTATGCATTTCCAAATTGCACTGAGTAGCCACTGTGCTTTCTATATTTGTGACTTCTTGACTTTCCTGGGCCCTGAGAACTATTTCTGGCTCTGGGTAACTCAGAAGACTAATGGGACTTTTAATGAGTGTTATGAAAGTAGCTGAGCTACTGACTTAAAGATGATGAAAATTGCTTTTCCTCAAATAAGCCCTTGATTTTATTTAGACTTTAAAGATTTCTTCTGGAAACACTGGGATACCTTGATGAATTTGCTAACTGTAGATCCTGGTGTAGTAACACCAGCAATTAAAGAGGTAACGTTTTACAGATATCTTTAGAGTAACTATTAAGCCCCAAGGTTCTTCAGACTGAAGATTTGCACCTTTCTTCTTCAAGAAGCCATTTCATCTAAACAGAATCTCCTGCCTCCATTGGCTAATGGTAGAAATTCAGAATCATTAGCTAAATTAATTGTTTCATGTGGTTGGTCTTTGGAACATTATAACTATAAGGGAATTACTGAGTTGAGAGCAATTAACTGGCTGTACTTCAAATATATTCTAACCAAATGGTATACCTGTCATTCTTAACGACCACTTAAAAACCACCAAAAGAAAACTGTTGATGAATCTTTGTGCCATCAAAATAAATCATCTAGAACAGTTTAAAATGCCTCATATCTGTATAATTCATATCACCTCAGAATCTGAAAAGTCATTTTGGATACTGCCATTTAAGTATTACCCCAGTGACCCATAGTTTCAAAGGAGAAAGTAAAAATTAGGAATACCTTTTCTAGGTTTTTAAAGCTCAGAAATCATAGAAGCAGGAAGAGAATGCATGTGACTGATGTCTAGGACTCATATGTTAGACCAGGAGTTGAAAATTCAGACCCCTGAACTAGAGCTGCAGAGGTACTCAGATGAGTGGAGATGGCACAAGGTCTCAGGGTCAGAAGGACAGGCGGCCTGAGAAATGTGGAGAACTTGAAAGCAAAGAGCCTTTAAAGGGGCTAGCCACCACTTAGCTCCACTGCTTGTGGTCCTATGGGAATGTGGTCCCAGTAAAGCCAGATACTGTGATTTTAACAAAATAGAGATGTGTGGAATTTTAATGAAATAATCACATCTTTAAATGTTGGTAACTAATTCAAACGCTAAAGCCTGTGAGTCAAATAAAACACATCTGTGGGCTGTCAGCAAGCCACCTCCGGATTAGACTCTAACATCCTCTGTAGCTGTATAAATGCTATTAAAAGTGAAGGATGGTGACATGCTGTCCTTCATCAATATTTATGACCAGTAAAAGGAAATGTTTTTAGAAAGAAACTAGGGTATTTCATTAATCAACAGATAGTATGTACCCACTAGGTTGCCACAAAATATTCATTATTAAGAAGATTAAAAAAGATAGATGTGTTAGCTCACTTTCTCTGGTATACAAACAGGTTAGTTGAGAAAAAAAAGTATTTCCTGATAGGGTTGCTAATTATCATTATCGAGAATGGAATACTAAGAAAGGATCAAAGTTGTATATAACAGGTGATTCTATAAAAGCTGAAGGTGGAAGGAGACGACTTTTCAAGTTCCATCAGGCATTGTTTATTATACAAAAAAAGGGGAAGGGAATAGATAGCATGAAGAAAAGAAAATATGAATTTTTTATTATCCTAGATTGTTGGCCTCATATATGTTTGACAAGGCTGAAATAAAAATTTTATATGGATGTAGGTTAAAAAAAAACTATGGAGAAATGTACAGATGCTATGAAATAATTTGTAGTTCCCCGAGGGATAAGAAGAGAAATGTACAGAATCATAGAGCACCATGTGTCATTTAGCTACTCCAGACAGCACACAGCATCTGCTCAGTGGATAAAGAAACGGCAAGGAGTTAAGGGTCCATTTCTATTTCTGGCATTGATTGCTCTGGGACTTGGAGGAACAGAGTGTCACCTTTTGGCAATCAGGTCACCCTGTATGTTAAAAAGAGACAAAGTGTATCCCAAAGGCATTTTGTGCATCGCTTTGACATCTATAAACCATTTGCAGATTTTTAAAATGAAGTCTACCACAAAAGCCGAGAATGCTATTCTCCCTCTCCCTAACTGACAGACTTAAGGAAGAAGTGCCATGGCCAGCCACCGATCAGATGTCTATTGGAATATTCTTGTTTGCCTTACATCTCTGTTCATCCTAGAACCCATCAGGCTTATAGCCAAGCAACATTCTTTTTATCCACTTTGGCTATGCATTTAATTTAAATGAAAAAGCCGCTCTAGGCAGATTCATTATTCAAATTGTTGTCTCCACACTCTCCTTTGGAAATCGAGGCATCCATATATGTAAGGCTGCAGTTAGGCAAACAGATGAGTAAGTTACAGGCCCAACTATCAAGCATGAATTGCATAAAGTTCACTGTCTTCATTTTGCACGCTTTACAAGTTGGCCTTTGCTGGCTTTGAGTGAGACGCTAGCTTTATTTTTGAATCATGTTCTTACCTTCATTCTTTAGAAAAATATAACATAAATGAGGAATTTGAAGATTAAGTTTATAGATAAAAATATACTTACCTCTCTCTTACAGCTTGATGCACAATATGGAAAATAACACTTTTTCTTCCTATCTAATTATGCATGAACCATCAAACCAAATCCCCAAATAAAGGCAAACACAAAAAATTATCCACACTTCACAGAAGAAACCATTCTCTTCTATTACCTAATGCCTGGCTTTCCAGAAATTACATGAGTTCATGTTAGTTAATGTAATCTATTATCTAACCTTCTTGGGAATTGACCTTAGTAAGTACAAAGTTCTCTCAGTTCCCATCAATTCAATTACATTGAATTACAAATATATTTGGTTTATATATATATGTATCTGTATATACACACACACATACACATACACATGCTTCTTTTGATTTCGAAGTGTGATATAAAAATCAGGGTCCTAGAATATAAAACAGAGAAGAAGGAAGGGTTATCTTGCAAACACTTGGCTGCATTTCACACAAGACATGTACTCTTCACAGATATTAGCACGTTAGCAATATCTGACTGGGGTAAGAAATGGATTTTTAAAACAAAACTGCTTTGCAAGTTGTCTCTCTCAAACCAATTCCTGCAGATACGTACCTTCCGGAGAGGTTTGAGCTTGGTCTCCATGATGAAGTCATACTTGCAGAGCTCACAGCAGCGCGTGTCTGAGCTCTTGATCCACTGGTGGAGGCAGGACTGGTGGACAAAGCGCAGGGTGCCCGTGCAGCGACAGGGCGTGATGAGGGGGCTCTCTTCATCCCCTTCGCAGTGACAGATCCTGGGGAAGGACACAGCAGCCTGGATGAGCTCTCCCAGAGAACATTTCTCACGAGCGGATTTCCTCCCTCACTCATACCAGGCAGTATCAGAAACTGCAAGCTGAGATTTAGAACGCGTGCACATTTCACTCCAACTTGATGCTAGAACTGAATCTATGCCCAATATTAATTTTCTTTCATTTGTGTGGTCCTTGCTGGAGTTTTAAGTCATGTCATAGACCATTAGACACTAGTACGTCAAACATGTACTATTTCATTCCTGCACTGAAGCCAATTTTAACAGCACAAATATTGAGCTATACCCCAGCGTAATCTATTTAATAGGTCAGTGTCTATGAGTTAAACTTGCTTTCATGTATAAAAGCTATGACTTATAAGTATTCTAGAGAATGTTGTAATCTGATAACTTCATTGTTTTATTTTGATGATCGTTTTATAGGGCATGGTGTATAATTTAATAGTATGTTATTCTACCAATGTGAAAGAAATCTGAAAAATTTCAATATGTTAGCAAAGAATAAAATGAATACAGAAAGTCTCAGCTTGGAAATATTACAAAGATTTCCCCAGGAACATGCACACATCTTTGGTCACAACAAATGGCCTAAACTGTCAATAATCATCATTGTTTAAAAGTCACAAAAATTACTGGTTACATAAAGTTCAAGTACAGTAAATCCTATTGTTTTAAAATGTTAATTACTACATCTTCCAAGGAATTCAGAGTTCAACTAGTTTACTGAATTACTGTGAATTCTAGTATCATAGATTCACAGTCTATGAAATCTTCATTATTCTCATCTTCAAATTTTTAAAAATAATTTGTTTTCCTCATTGGGTGAGATAAGGGTTTCATATCTCAAGGTTGTGAACTGAACTCTTAGCGCTTCAATGATTCTTATGGTTTAACCAACTGATAGAAGTTCTTAATAAATTTGATTAGAAATATTGCTTGAAATCTCAGAAATACGAATGGAACATTAAAAAAAATATTTGTATAGTTACTTTTCCGAGCTGTCATGGTGGCAGGCTGGAAGAATGAATGAACAGCTGCTGCTGCCCTTGCCTTTTAGGTCTATATGCCTTATTCTCCAGAAGCATGAGTTTTAAAGAGTGAATTTTAAAAATGTATTTATCTTAGCTGTCTCCCCAGGGGAAATGAAATGGTTGCTCAGATTGCTACTGTAGTAAGATACAGGAATTGAAACCCAACACTCCCCTAACCTCAAAATAAAGAAGTATAACAGTACACTAGGACGTGAGTCTCTTTTTCATAAGTAAAAATAAAGTAAGCAAAAAGGAACATTGACTTCTAAAGTTCTCCAGGTGTGAGCGGTGGGATGAGAGCGTAGGGAATTCAAAATCAGTGTCTGCTTTCCCCTGGACTGAGGTAGGAAGCAGTGAGCTTGGACGTAGCAGCACATATAAAAAGCTGATATGGTGGGGAAAAACTAAAAATTATCTGGGAGCTTATTCTTTAACACGAGAAAATATCTCCTCTTTCCAAATGTGTACGTCCTAGGGAACACGGCTTAGTATACTTGTACCACACGTATTGCCAATAGAGTGTTGATTGCATCATAGGTGCTCAGTAGATGTTTGTTGAGTGGAGGAATTGTTCAGTCAACAAACTATGACTTATCATAAAAGCAACCATTGAAAGCAAATCTGAGTTTCTATAACACTTCATTTTGTTGTAATAGTTATTTTTGGAGCCATTGAAACCTAACGAATTGTACAGCATGAGAAGTTGATATTACTCAAGTCCTTGAACCTCTTATCTCCCTGCCTCCACACAAAGATACTCCCTTAGATCAGGGGTCAGCAAACTATGCCCAATTTTTCCTGCTGCACGTTTTTATAAATAAAGTTTTATTGGTATACGCCCAAGCACATTTGTTTATGTACTGTTTAGAGGTGTGTTTGTGCTATAAATGCAGAGTTGAGAGTTGCTGTGGGGACCATCTGGCCACAAAGATGAACATATTTGTTATCTGGCCCTCTACAGAAACATTTGCCTACTCCTGCCTTAAACAAGGCAATTCTGAGTTAAAGACAATGTATGACTATTATCAACAATAATGAAAACAAAATTTACGAAACAATCACTGCGACCTCTGCAAATAACAAAAGTCGAAGTAAAGGTTAAATAAACAAGCAAGAAATGAAAATGAAAGTCCCTCCTGGCTGGCCCTGAAGCCCAATGATCCATGAACAGCCTGCAGGGATGGGGGGCAAATTTCTCATTTGAAAAAGAAAAATTTGCCGTTAACACCATCTGATAATTCATCGCTAAAACAAGATACTGTCAAATGCTGCACAGCTGCTGAGATCATTCTGAGGCTCTGATTTTTTACGGACATGAAAAAAGTAACGTATTCATAAGCAAATTTAACAAAGATCTTGCTGATTACTGAGTTCCAAGTGACCCCTGAGCAGTATACTGACCGTCACCCAACTTCCTAGACCTTACAGATTCCTTTTTAAAAATTTCTGCTGAAACTGTTACCTGAAGCACCGCCAGCAATATCATTTTTTCCTAAAATTAAGCTTATTTCTCATACGGAAAATCAAAAGCTTAGTTCATTTTCATTCCCATTTCACAAGATTTAGTTTTACATGATTTTAACATTTTGAACTTTTTCTACATTATCCAACTCAAGTTGGTGCCCAAGTGTCTTCTTCAAACCATGTTGAGATTGTTCTAAATGAATTTAAGGGCTAAATATCAACTTCAATATCTACTGGAAATAAAAAATAATATGATAATGTCATTACAGAAAGAATTAAACAATTCTTAAATTGATATACTTCACACAAACCACAATTGCCAAATTATAAATGAAAACATAAACATGTTTTTTCCAACAGAATAATTGTGTAGAGAAAATGATTTTAATACTAAAATAAAATTGCACAGTAAAATATTCATAGTTTCAATGTATTTTTACCTTATGGGAAATGGACACTTGGAAGTGAGTGATTCTGTAAATTCATTGGTGATCTACATTGATATCTGTCACCCAGTGACAGGAAAAAGCTAAATTCACAGATTTTATTGACATTTTAGTATTTTAACTGGCTGCTTACAATCTAATCAGCATATGTTGAGACTTTCACCATTTATGACTTGAATAAACTTTGACTTCCTTATAATTTCTAGCTTTCTGTGAAGACCAGACTGCAAATGCTATTTAGCAAATTAAATTTTGGAAATGTGTGTGTGTGTGTGTGTGCTTAAAGTCCTTTCCTTAATGTTTGAGTTTTAAGAAAAGTAGGCTTTTTTTTGGTCTTATGTATCTTAAAATGATTTCCATTCTTCCCCAGCCCCTCCCATGCCAAGGTTTCTTGGCTCTGGCAGAATATTTGCTTTCCATAGTTTTTCTTAAATAATTCATCACTAAAAAAAACTTTATGAAGGCTATAGTGATTATGTAAGTTTGGGATTTTTTTTTTCATTCATTCATCCATCATTTCATTCATTCACATTTTCTTAGTTCTTGCTATAGGCAAAGAAAATCAGACAATAGCATCAGCATATTGTGGGAATTGAAGGGAGAGAAGAACCCGGAGGCAGATACCTCATTTGGCCAACTATTACAATCATCTAGGGATTAAGAACCTAGACTGAGGTGGTGACTTTGGGAAGGAGAAGGAAGATTCTCAGCTTGCAGAGTATGCAGAAATCTCTGAGAACTTTCCTTGGTTTCCATGACTAGCTGTGGCAGCAAAGCGCATTTACTTATGCGACTCCGAAAGGCGGGCATCCCTGTGACCTTCAGACAGCATCTCAAGTGCAGGCCTGTGACTCTCTCTTCCTATATTCCATGCCATTTTTTCCCCTTCTCTTTTGGCAAATCTTTCTGATCTATCCCCTCAATTTTCGACCTACAGTTTTCTCCATTCCCCTCTCCAACTAAATAATTTTTAAGCACAGTAATTACGGATACTGCTATATTCGTAATATTTTAATTTGACTGTTGATCTTTACTCAAAATGAATCATCATGCTTCAGAGTTTGGCACTCATTCTTAGCATTCACTTTACTAAGTTAAAAAATGATTAGAATACATGTTGGACAGAAGCCATATTGAAAGATATTTGCAGTAGATGAGAAATTAGCGCTCAAGTAAATGAGTGAAGAGAGCTAATCTCTCTCTCTTTTTGAGAAATATAGCATAACAGTTAAAGGAGAGCAGATCAGGGAAAATTTTATTTTTAACAGGGAAAACTTGAACTTGTTCATAAGCAGCAGTGAAGGTGTCACAGGGAGGTAGACATTTAAAAACACAGTCAGGCAAGAGAAGGCCCCATTGTTAAATGAAGGATCTCGAGAAGTCAAGAAAGTCTGGGGAAAGAAAGTATGGCAGAGGAATATCTTTGGACAAGTGGAAGAATACACAGGAGGGAAACAGCCATCTTTTTCTGTGAGCAAGAGATAGAGGGAAAATGATCGGTGAAGATGAAAAGCTAGTGAAGGCAGAAGAAATTGAGTTAGCTGGGTCTGCGAGGTCTTATTAACTTCTGTGATATAGAAGACAGCACGTATGCTAAACAGAAGGCAGGAAGGCATGGGGTTAAGGTCTTATAGAGGCTGTAAATAATTAGAAAAAGCCACTTGGAGAATGTGATGGAAAATTAACCAAGCATGAATATTAGAATTGTGGAGCAGCCGTGAGGTCCCTGGTGAGATTAGACAGCACGAATTTATAGTAGACGCTGTTAACATTGCTTTGTGACCTGGCAGTGTTCAGCAGTCAGAGAGCAATCCTACAGTTGGAAGCACAATCTCACAGTCTTCAGATCACTAGGTCAGAAATGGGAAGGACAAAGGAGTGAAGGATTCCTGTGCATTGGAGGATACAGTGTGAAAACAGTTGGTCATAAGGTCTAGGCTCTAAGGGAACAGTTTGGTGAGTGAAACCAGCTGGTGGGAAATGGATGGATTTGAGAGACCGTAAGTCACAAGGACGCTGAAGAATTGATATTGAAAGAGGAA